GTCCCCCCCGCCCCCCACAAACTGACGGCTCTTACTTTGTTCCTACTGTCAACATGTGGACGACCACCAGCGGCTTGACTGGTCGGTCGCTCCGGGTGAGCATCACCTTGGCCGCTGTCGTGGGTTTCTCGCTCTTTGGCTACAATCAGGGCATGATGGCCGGCCTCCTCAACGGCGACGAGTTTGTTAACTCCTTTCCAATCCTCAAAATGCCCGAGAATCCGACTGCGGCGCAAAAACACTACATCGACGTCATCCGCGGGGCTGTCACATCCTGCTATGAGCTTGGCTGCTTCTTCGGCGCGTTATTCTCCATGTTCTTCGGCGACGGACTCGGCCGCACTCGCCTGATCTTTATGGGTGCCAGTATCCTGATCATTGGCGCCTTGCTTACAACGGTCTGCTTCACTGGTAATTGGGAAGTTGGTCAGTTCGTTATTGGCCGTGTTGTGTCGGGCATTGGAAATGGCATGAACACGGCCACGATCCCGGTCTGGCAATCAGAATGCTCCGGCGCTCACAATCGGGGCTTCCTGGTCTGTTTTGAGGGCGCGATGATCGCCGGTGGCACCTTTATTGCCTACTGGGTGGTCTTTGGTATCTCGCACGCCGCGGACTCTGTCCAGTGGCGATTCCCTGTGGCGCTCCAGATCCTTTTCGCTCTGTTTGTGGCCACCGGTGCCTTGATGCTCCCGGATTCCCCGTCGTGGTTTGTGATGAGAGGGCTTGACAAGGAGGCTTGTGAAGTTCTCGGTAAGCTCAAGGGCACATCTCCTGATTCCGATCAAGTACTTCACGACTTCAACTTCTTAAAAACAGATGTGGAATCCTCAAAGAGCGTACAGTCAAACTGGAAGTTGGTATTCACATTTGGCAAAACCCAGGAATTCCAGCGCCTTCTGATCGGTTGCTCTGGTCAGTTCTTCCAGCAGTTTACTGGCTGTAACGCTGCTATCTACTACTCGACATTACTTTTCCAAGAAAACCTCCATATGGAGAAATATCTGTCTCTCATTATGGGTGGGGTATTCGCGACTGTTTACGCCCTTGCAACTATCCCGTCCTTTTTTATGATTGAAAAAGTCGGCCGCCGTAACCTATACTTGATTGGTTTTCTAGGTCAGGGGCTTAGCTTTGTTATTACATTCGCTTGCCTGATCAAGGAAACCGAGGCGAATTCCAAGGGTGCTGCTGTTGGCATCTTTCTCTTTATTACTTTCTTTGCATTCACTCTCTTGCCACTGCCCTGGATCTACCCACCGGAGATCAACCCCCTCCGTACCCGCACTGTGGGCGCGGCGGCGTCAACCTGTACCAACTGGATGTGTAACTTTGCCGTGGTCATGTTCACCCCCCTTTTCGCTGGCCAGAGCCCATGGGGTGTTTATCTCTTCTTCGCACTGTTTAACTTTGTCGGTTTGATATTCGGCTTCTTCTTCTATGTTGAGACAGCCGGCCGTGAGCTTGAGGAGGTGGACATCATCTACGCCAAAGCCCATATCGAAGGGAAGATGCCGTTCAGGGTCGCCCACGACATGCCCAAGCTCAACTTCGAACAGATCGTCCAACAGTCTCGCGAGCTGGGCTTGGATGCCAACGATCATGCCATGCCTGAGAGGAACGAGCTTGGCCTCAGCAGTGACAGTGGCCAGGAGATCGAGGAAGTCCAGGAGAAGCAGTAACGCTTTACCTGTGGTTGAAGGTGGTGATTAGTCCTCGAAATGGTCCGACTCAGGTTCCAAAGGTCGGAACCTCGAACCTGAACCTGATAGAACCTGATTTGCCTTTCTCAGATGGATAAAACGATGATTCATCTTGATCTTTTACTGCAATTTACCGCTGTTCTGGTCAGTACATCATGCATATAATGATGTAGCCATATATCTTGCGAAATTATATGAAATCCTTCTGTATATAGAATATCTAGCATAGAGAATATCATATCCAGTCAGCTTAAATGGGCCCGAGGCTCTTAGTAGTTACGTCTGAGGAGTCCTCTGCCACCGCAGGGGTCCATGCTATCGACATCCGGCCCGGGTCCTTGGTCGGTCTGAGTGATTCCTCGCAAACGACATATGAAGAGACGGTTGACCGGATTGCCTCCCACTACGGGCTGCAGGCTGAGGATATCATCGGCATCCTACCCACCACACAGTTCCAGCGTGACTATCTCCTTCGGAAGGAATGCAACTATTTCGTCCTGGACATCCCAGGGCCGGTTGTCGTAGATCGAATCCACAGCGCCGTTGATGCAGTGATGAGGAAATACAGCGCGCCGCGTACCGTCTTGGTTCCTCTACGCAACACTCTGGTGCAGGTGCTCTTACGTCGGGCTGACAGTCCTGTCCGGCATTTCTCCACGTCAAAATTGCAGCTTGCATCATACGTGGAGCAGCTGGTGCGCGCAGACTCGCGGGTGTGCGTGCCGTACGGCGCCCTTCACTTCCAGGCGACGCTGGTCTCCGCCGACGACGACAGCCACCATTTCCTCGTTCTTTGTCTGTCTCACGCACAGTATGACGGCTTCTCGCTGGCACGACTCTATCTTGACCTGAGCGCCGCATACGGCGGTCGTGCCCTTGCCTCTGCCCCGGACTACGCGACCAACATGGTCCACCGTCACCGTCACCTTACGACATCCCCCTTGCTCGATTTCTGGCAGGAGTATCTTGCCGGCTCCTCGGTGACAAAGCTTCGCCCCGTGCAAGACAGCAAGCAACCGGAGACCGCCATCCACCTGCACCAGGAAGTCCGCGTGCCTGCTTTGCCGGACGGCATCACCATCGCCACGCTCTACAAGGCGGCGTGGGCGCTCGTCCTCGCGCGGCACACGCACACCGCAGACCTCGTCTTTGGCCAGGTCGTCAACGGCCGCAGTCTTCCGCTGGACGGAATCGAAGAGATCCTCGGGGCTTGCTTCCATGTTGTCCCCATCCGCGTCAAGATCCACGGCTCCTAGCGGGTTCGTGATCTACTCCAGCAGGTCCAGGCCGACCATATCCAGGCCCTGCCCTACGAGACAGTCGACATGGACGAGCTCATCGCCCGATGCACAGACTGGAACCCCTTGACCCGGCTGGAGACTGTTACACAGCACCAAAATGTGCCTGTCAACCCCGAGTTCCGGTTCGCTGGCGTCAACTGTACCACGTTTGGATACGAGTTCAACTACATGCCCTGCGAGCTGTATTGATTTCAGTGCCGAGCGAACAGGGAGTGCTTTCGATTGATCTGTCGGCGTCCAGTCGCATGGTTGACGAGGAGACAGCTGCTCTGCTCTTGGATGGGCTGTGTGAGATGGTTGTCAGGCTTGCGGAACATCCAGATGCAATGGTGACTGGGCTGATGTAGTTGATTTCAGCGCTTTTGTATCATTATATCAGATGTTTATGTCACTTGTTGTTTCTTTCTATCGGGGTTTAGTGTATATATATCATTCATTTCTCTTGCCTTGGCATATACCTAGAGCTTGTCTACCATGCTATAATAAATTGATTTGTTATTTGAATATGCCATGATCATCATCCTAACCTATGTCTAAAATCAAATCAAAACCTAGGGGCGGAACTAGTTGTGGTTGATGATCATTTTTCTCTGATATAATGTAGTATAGCTCTATTTTATAGAGGAAATACGCCACAGGTATTACCAGAATACACCACAGGACAGATTCCAGAGCTAGGATCACATCCTCAAATACTTACTAAACTTCTTCTTCAAAGCTTGCAGCAGGACCGGCTTGGCCAGATAATCATTCATCCCCGACGCCAAACAGCGCTCCTGATCTCCCTGGATGGCCGACGCCGTCAGCGCGATAATGAGGATCTGCCTGACAGCGTCCACGGGATCCTGGCGCAGACGCCGCGTGGCGTCATACCCGTCCATGACGGGCATCTGAACATCCATCAGGATCATGTGGTATGGTCGGTCCTGGGTTGCTTGCCTCTGGATGCCTTCGACGGCTTCGAGGCCGTTGTTGTAGGTGTCTATCCGGGTAAAGCCCAGTTTTTTGAGGAACTGGACGGTGATCTTTTGGTTGATGAGGTTGTCTTCTGCGATGCAGACGCGGAGGTCGTGGAGGTGGATGTTGGACAGATCCATTAATTCCGGGGGGAGCGGTTGATCGATGCCGCCCTGGGCACCGTCGCTGGACCGTGTCGGTGTAGTGCGTCCCGAATCTCCCGGGTTCGCCTTGGGTAATGTGATGGCAAAGGAAACGGTCGTTCCGACGTGCTCGGTGCTCTTGAGGTCGACGGTGCCGCCCATCAACTCCACCAGAAGTTTGCAGATACTGAGCCCGAGTCCGGTACCTCCGAACCGGCGCGCGGTACTGGCATCGGCTTGGGTGAAGGGCTTGAACAGCCGGGGGATAAGTGCAGCGGGGATGCCGATCCCCGTGTCGGCCACCCAGAAGGAGAGACGCACAGAGTCCTCGGTTTCGTTTTCCGCGCGGGCTCCGATGGTGATGGACCCCTTTTCCGTGAATTTCAGACTGTTGCCGACCAGGTTTCCGAGGATCTGCCGCAGGCGCACGGGGTCACCATGCACGTAACGGGTTTCCTGGAGCTGAATGTCGTGCATGATGTGGACATGGCTCGACTTTGGCCCGTTCGTAGAGTCGGTCGGGATCGAGCGGACGACTTCCAGGACCATTCTCTCGACATCGAAGGGAACAATGTGCAACTGCATCTTGTTCGCCTCGACTTTGGAGAAGTCCAGGATGTCATTGATCACGGCGAGGAGCAGGTTCGCGGACATGCGGATCGACTCGGCCATTTCCAACTGCGCCTCCGGCAGTGGACTGCCGAGCAAGAGCTCTGAGTTGCCAATAACCCCGTTCAGGGGAGTCCGGAGCTCATGGGAGATGTTGGCGAGGAAGCTGCTCTTGGCCTTGGCTGCCTCTTCGGCCAGTTTGGCATGATGCAGGGCCTCTGCCTTGGCGATATTCGCCTCCTGCTCAGCCGCCATAGCTTCCGCCAGGGCCTTCTTCTGCGCTTCAACCATGGATTGATTGATCGTGGACACGCGTTCGACTTCCTGGAGGGTCAGCGCATTGGAATAACTGATCCCGAGTTGCACCACGAGCAGCTGCAAAACGACCCGGGTGCGATACGAGAAGGCGTTCGGGGGACCCTCCAGATACAGCACCACATTGGGTCCACTCTCGTCGCCGCCGGGCGAAATGGGCAAGGCCATGACGCATTTGCTGACCGGGTTCTGCGCGACCCAGGTTTCACTCACGTGGCTAAACCGCGGATCCCGGAGGACGTCCGGCAAGTACGCCGCTTCGCGGAAGCGCACGCAGTAGTTCACGACGCTCTCGGCCACAAGGTTGGAGTGGCGGATGGGTGTTGGAGGATTATGTACTTTGATGTGTCCGGCCGCATTACCACTGGCGGCCACTGCCCACCCGACGTTCTGCTCCTCGTTGGTGATAATGGCGGCGAGAGTGGCGACGCCATGGCAGCTTTGCATGATGATCTTGCACATGGTACGGAGTAGCTCATCCACCCGCAGAACGCTGGAAATCACCTGTGACGCTTCCAGGATGGAGGTGAGATCCAATATGTGGAGGGCACGGTCTGCCACGGCATCTTCAATGCTGGAGGTGTCGTCGGTGGACGTAGCGGTCACTTGTGGTCTCGTCGGGACACTCATTTCTTCCGCATCAGTTTGAGTAGCAGCCTCGCGCGCGTCCCTTGCCTTTGGTTCCACATTACGCGACTGCAGGATATGTTCCGCCACTCCGGTGGCTCCCATCCGCCGGTAAAGCGTAGCCGCCTCTTTGAGGGCCAGAGTGCCTAGTCGGAGAGAGCCCTCGCGTATCAGGTGGCCAGCCAACAGATGGTGGGCCAAGGCCTCTTCAAAAAGAAAGCCATGGGTGGACGCATGATCTAAAGCGTCTTGGTAAAGACATAGAGCCGCGGCTTGGTGACCCTCCATCTCTGCAATCTGGGCGCCGAGCATCTTAGACCACGCCAGATAGTTCACATCCGAAACAGCCTGCCATTGTTCGATCCTCCGCCTGAAATACCTCAGCATCCTCGCCAGGCCGATGATGTCTTCCTTCAGAGCGGGATCGTCCGAGGCCCGATCGAGCTGCTCCTGCTTCCGGGCCCATACAGATCCGGCGAGAGAAAGGGAATGGAAGAACATAAGGAACCGCGTGTCCCGTGCGGACCAGACAGCGTTGATCTTCTTGAGGCAGGAATTTCCCAGGGCCACCGCTCGCGCGTAGTGCCCGTAAAGGAATAAGGGAGCCATCTCCATGCTTTCATAGAGCATGAGGGGGCGGTCGCTGTTCTTGATCGTTTTCACCAGCCAATGCTTGTAGGCGGTCGAATTGTGCTCCTCGCAGCTCATCACTCCCATCGGGTCGTGTGTGAATGTTTTCCCCTGCAGAGCACGGCAGACCTGGCAGATAGCCATGAGGATCGTGCCGCCGGGCGTGTCTGACTGCCAGCAAGGAATGTCCTCACAACTGGAGACGCAAAAGCTCTCCAGCTCCGCTAGATTTTCAGAGGCAAAGAACTTGGCGGTGGCCAGAAACCCATAATTCAAGATTGTCGCGATCCTGTCACCGGCGCGGATGGCAAAATCCAAAGCCCCCTCCAGTTGCCCGATAGAGGACTGGACAGGATGTTTGACATGACCCACAAAGGTCGAGTATAACGCGATGCCACGTCCCATGGTATGTGGATCTTTCCATTGCTCGATCAGGGCCAAGGCGAGGTCCCCGCAATGGCTTGCGAAGGAGATCGCATTGTCCCGAGAGATGGCAATCACCGCCAACTGCAGGAGTCCCATGCCGGCCTGGGGAAACGTCCCGCGAGTGAGATAGGTATCAACCATGACCAGGGTCATTTGGTAAAAGGTCAGCGTATCGGACCAGAAAGCAGCCCTGGTGGCCTCGACGAGAACCGCACCGGCAGCAGCCAAGTTGGGTTGCTCCACAGGGGTCTCTTCGGCGATGCCCTCCGACTCGATCGCTGAAATGGCATCGCGCAGCCGCCGGAATTGATGGTCGCATTTCGCGAAAGTCGGGTCCTCGTCGACATTGAGCCCCAGAGTCACGAGGCACGCTTTCAGCGCCTGGAAAGCATCAGTAGAGTTCCCTTGCTGCGCGAGCATGCGAGACTGCAAGATCCACGCGGGGGCCTTGTCCACCGCGCTCCGAGCATCAGAGAGGATCGACTGCAGCAAGCGATTGGCTTCGGCATGCTGTCCTTGGTACAGGTAGCACTCTGCAGCGGCGGTATATATGTGCAGCGTCTCGTCATAGCTCACATCCTCTGCGTTGTCATCCCACACGTTATCCTGAAGCAGGACAATGCAACACGCATACGAGTCGATGGCGGTCGAGCGGAAGCCGGTCTCGTTGGCCGCTTTCGCATGATCCACGAGAAACTTTCGGAAGGGCTGTCTTTGGGTCACGGAGCGTCTGATGACCGGGGCGGATTCGATGAGGGCCGAGGCCAGCATATTGCGATACTTGTCATCGTGGGAATAGTACTGGAACAGCACTTGTGCTTTGATGAAGTTCACATGGTCTTTGGCTCGCGTGTGGAATGACGCTGCAATGTGCATATACCGGTTATACGTGAAAGAGAAGACGTCATGGTGCTTTGTGGGAGCGATCACGTAGGCTTCGACGGCGGGCTGAAGCGCTTGAATCATCTCGCCCTCGGGCAAGCCCGCTTCGGACGCCGTCCTGTCGGCGCTGAGAAGCCTCCGGACCAGTTGAAATGAGAACGTCATGCCCACCGAGGAGGCCCAGGCCAGAATTGACTTGGAGACAGGCGGTAAGCTATTCAACCGACCGACCAAGAAATCATCGAGGACGGCCTCGTGGTAGTCGTCTGCCTTGAAATAATCCGATATGCGGGGGAGATCGAACGACCACGATCCTTCCTGGTAGTCATACCAGACGAACTTCTGTCGGTAGCACACGCTCAACATTTCTCGGATATAGAACGGGTTCCCACCAGTCCGGGATTGAATGAGCGCCCCCAAGGGCCAGATGAGAGGGACGGATAGGTAGAGGGTGTTTGCTACATATTCCATCACGCTGTCTTCGTTGAGTGGAGACAGGGTCAGAGTGGTGATACCTACATCTCTTCCCTTTCGAAACCCTGCTGGTTGAATGAGTATCAGTCTAGTGGACAACAAAAGAAGAGGAAATGTCCGGAAATACCTTCATTGGTACAAAGATCTAAGATATGGTTGGTCATTTCCGAGGTATTTTCCGGCCGGTAAGCCAGAATCATCACCATTCGGATCCTCGCGGAGACGATCTGAGCAACAAGCTCCAACGACTCTTCGTCTGCAAAGTGGAGATCATCCAGGCAGAGACACAGCGGTTTGTATCGCGAGAAGGCTCGCAGAATATCCAGCAAGGTCCGCACGAGAGGCAAGGACTTGGTAGACGATCCTGTCCGAAGGAATTCGTGAGAACTCAGAGTCCCGGTGTGGCGGGAGGATAACGGGATTGCGGCAGTATGAGTCTTTGACGCCTGCTCTGGCACGTCGGGAATCGATCCCAGGAGGAATTTCGGAAGCCCCAGTACCTTGTGGAGAGTGTTCCACGCAGACCCGATATGATTCCTCAACATCGGCAGGAAGCTCGGCTCAATGGTATTCTCCGAGAACGCCTGCTCGAACAGGCTGGAAAAGAGCTGCAGAACCGGACGCAACCGTTCTTTGGCGGCAGGATCAAACCGGGAACTGGCAAAGAAGCCGCGTTGTCTGGCTTCAATCTGCACGGAAGTGATCAGCCGGGTCTTGCCCAAGCCAGCACCGCCTTCGATGGTGATCAGCTCGCACCGCCCTTTCGGCACCATCATGCGATGCGCGGCTGTCCTACCGGCACTGTCGCTGGATCGGGAGCTACCCTCAACACTGGCGCTGTCAATCGATGGGGTAGACAGTCGCTTGTCGGCCGTCTTTGTGTCCGACGCTCCTGGTGCGGAGTCGACGCTCTCGAACGAACCATACCGCGAGCCGGCAGGGGACCGCATCCGGGTCGTATTGGCTGGATATGACCGGCGGAAGCCACTGGCGGGGCCGTTTGTGGAGGTCAGCAAGTTGGGAAATCCGTCCGTCGGGTTGGGGCCATCCTCTTCGCCGGGGGTGTCGCCGGGCAGGGCAAAGGCATCGAACGTGGCGAATTGACCTTCTGGCAGCGAGGACAGCTGCAGCCCTCTGCCTCCCTGGTACATCTGATACGTCCGGTCCAGAATCTCCACAATGGCATTTCGCTCCTGGGTCCGGCCCACCATGATGCGCGGCAGCGTGAAGAACGGAGAGACATCCTTGCTGCCAATTTTCCAGTTATCAAGTTCTGCCGCTGTCGCTGCTTGCTCTTCATCCTTGCCGTCCTCGTCACGCTCTTTGGCAGCCAGTAGCCTCCGCAACTCCACCAGGTCATGTCGCAGACCACTGACGGAATGGTACCGCTCCGAGACATTCTTGGCTGTTGCTTTGGCGATGACTCGCGCGATGAGCTCCGGAACATCCGGTCGCAAGCTCGATACGAGAGGAAGTTCCTCTCCCAGCACCGCTCGGATGATTTCCATGGGGGTCTTGCCGCCAAATGGGGTCTCACGGACCAGAGCGCTCCACAAGAGGATGCCCAGGGAGTAGATATCCGCGCGACTGTCGGGCTGAATGGGCGTCCGGCCAGTTTGCTCGGGGCTCATGTATGACATCCGGGCCGTAGCACCGTCCTGCTCGGCCAGAGCGGACCATGTTGCATTTCGGAGGTCGGAGTGGTACCGCCGCAGACCTGCCCCCAGGTGAATCAGTTTCACCCTGCCAGTCTCTTCGCTGAAGTGAAAAGCATCGGCCCTGATCTCCCCATGGACAATCTGCTGGCTATGGAGGATCTTGATGCTCTCCGTGGCGCCGATGGCAAAATCCAGAAAGGTGGACAGCGACATAGGCTCGTCCTCGTCCTGGTTGTTATCATGATCCTCGTCACTCTCATCCCCCTTGGGAACCTCGCGATACCAGGTCGCGCCGCAGTCCACGTATTTCAACAAGTCATTCGGACCGGGGCTCTCGTAGATGCAAACCACGAGCGGTGGCTCGCGCTCTTGATTGCGACTGGGGAATCGCAGCACCTCCAAGGGCCGCAGGAGACAATTGTAGCGGGGATCGGCCACGGCGGCCAGCCTCCGGTACTCCTCCTGAACCTTTTCTTCCTGACCCGGGTTCTCAGAGATACGCGCCACCACTTCCAGCGCACTCTCCCGACCTTTGCGCGTATCACACGGCGGCGTGACCACGTTTGCGCCAACGTTCAGGTGTTCGAGAGACGAGACGCTCCGAGGACGGGCGGGCAGAACATGACGCGCGCTGGTGGTGTCGACGAGGTGCTTTGTGCCGACAATATGCCTAGGCTGAATTAGCGCGTGATCTGTGTCTGCCTACCGACTGCAACAATCCACCTAGGTAACGCACCATATGCCATAGCTGGAGCGAAATTGCCTCGACTCGTCCCACGTGTAGCCTGCTAGCCGCTGTAGCCTGTCCAGCAGACCGGCAGGAGGCTCTTGAGCCTCTCGGTGCATGACTGCGATAAGGGGATTAAGAGGGTGGATCGATCGCTGGTCTCATGGTCGTTGGTTTGGTCCTCCCAGTCTATAGACACTAATAAGTAAATAACAGAGGAAAGAATATGATAACAATCTTGACAGTGGGAGGAAAAGAAGGACAATGGCAGAAGCAGATGGCCCAAAAGTATGGAAACAGAGCTAAGCCAAATAGAGTAAAACTGGGGAGCCAAGCTGCCAAAAAACCGGTTTTCGTCCTTGTTTCTATCTGTCTGGTTTGTGTAACCGGGACTGTAGCTTTTCATATCTTTTGGACATGATCATCTTGATATATCAAGATAGACAAGATATGCATGTCTTCATATAAAGAAGGAAATCCATCATAATGAGAACTATCTCTCTATGTTAATGGTTTACTACATACTCTACGGAGTAAAGTAAATCTATCAAAGATCAATCTATGACATCGACGTCGATCTTTATCACGCTATCCCGTTCTGGAACCAGCAAAATCAAATAAATCAAATATCCTTGGTTAGCCCTGCAACTTCTAGACCCCTCTCCCTCCCAGGCCTCCCTCTCCTCTCCCTCTCCCTCCCCTCTCTCTGATTCCAACTTTAACTCTGTCTAAGGTATATGACATGTCTCCAGTCTCGGATCTCAAGTCTTGACTTATCCAGTCCTAGCTATTATTGAATAACCAGTCATTGATCTTGTCTCCTTTCTTGTTTCCCAATCGCAGTGTCTCTCAGAATGCCAGAGGAAGTGACATACAAGCCGTAAGAGACCCACCTTTCTTATTTGCTTTGTGTTTATGTGCATGCTATTCTTGCCTCTCCCTTTCCTCTTCCCTTTTTCCCCTCCTCTTTCCTTGTGTGTCCTGCTCAGTCATTTGACAGTCTACCTAACCTACTCGATCTAGACTGCGCCTAGGGTCAATAGCCCCCAACTTCCAAGCCGAGACCACCATCGGTCCGATCGACTTCTATGAGTGGATAGGCAACGACTGGGTCATTCTGTTCTCCCATCCGGAAGACTACACCCCCGTCTGCACCACCGAACTGGCCGACCTGGCCAAGCACCAATCCGACTTCGCGAGGCGCGGCGTCAAGCTGATCGGGCTGTCGGCCAATTCGATCGAGTCGCACGATGGCTGGATCAACGACATCACGGAGCTCGCCGGCTGTGCGTTGACCTTCCCGGTCATCGGGGATGAGGATCGCAAGATCGCGTATACTTATGATATGTGAGTCGACCGCTCCTCTCCTCTGCGGCCCCTGACCGGGAACAGGCTCGACCACCAGGACACAACCAACGTCGACGCCCGAGGCATCGCATACACCATCCGCTCCGTCTTCATCATCGACCCCAACAAGGTCATCCGCCTCATCCAGGCCTATCCGGCTTCCACAGGCCGGAGCACGACTGAACTGCTCCGCGTCGTGGATTCCCTGCTCGCCACAGACAAGCACTGCATCAATACCCCCGTCAACTGGGAGCCGGGTGATGATGTAGTCGTCCCCGCGGGTCTTGCCGACGAGGAGGCGCAGGCTAAGTTTCCAGATATGCAAACCGTGAAGCCGTATTTGCGTTTCACACCATTGGCTAAGGAGAAGGTTCTTCCACTTTAGGTGTTATTTTCCACTTTAGGTGCCGTGTCTGCTCTATCTTTTCTCTATTAACTTCGACCGATAAATAGTGTATTCTGCTATGATGACTGATACGCAAGGCTTCAGCTATCACAGATGCATTCACGAGGTGGTTATATATCTAAGCTATCTCAAATGGGCAATCAAATGCATCCAAGGTAATAGAGTGCGCTCAGCGAGTGGAAGGAAATCCCCTGGAGGAGTGAGATCAGTCGAGTCTATACAGGTCTCCGGTCTATTTCAAAGTCAAGCGCTACAATGCTTTAAGGATTCTATCCAGTGCGCCACTATATGGGCTGGCGTCTCGCAGTGTTGTTGGTCTTGGCCTTGGATTGCAGAGAATGGATACATCCACTATCTATCCTCCTTGAGCCCTTAGTCGCATTGATCCACTATCTATGGAGTAGTCTATACAGCAATAATATCCATGACAATGTACTCTGTACTTCGCCACGACTCTTAGGCCCTGTATCTCGAGTCATCTCGATATGATGCCCTTGGGATCTTCAAACCAAAGAATTCAAGGCTTCAAGCTGTCCACGGCTGTGACCATGTCACCATTCCCTGTCTACCTCAGTATTCTGATTACCACTAATTAACTATATAAGTAGTAACGTAATCAACCACCGAGCGACGAATACCACCGAGCGACGAATTTTTGCCGCTTCTAATAATATTTTGAAGCTTTTCAACCACCAACATCATTAGACTTGACTATCTAGTAGCTGAATATATAG